CAAAACCATTATACCCTGATTTCCCATTTTCAATGGGTTCAGGGTATAATAAAGACTTTTCCACAAAAAACTAATAAAGGGGTGAGTAAAGATTACTGTAGGGATGGTGGGTCGGACCAGGAGATATCCCAAAGTAGGCGGAGAGCTGCTCATTCTCCATATAGCTACATACGTACACGGAAGTATGGACAGACGGACGGATGGACAAACGAACGGATGGATAGACGGATGAGTGGGCAGTTGGAGAGATGAGCAGACGTATGGATGACAAACGGGTGAGCAAGCGGTCAAGTGAACAAACGGACGGACATGCAGACGGACAGACAGACGGTCAGATAGACTGACGGACAGAAAGACTGACGATCGGACGGTCAGCCAGCCAGATGGACAGACGGACAGGCAGATGGACAGACAGACAGACGGGCGAACAGGCAGACTGTCGGACAGACGGACGGACAGTAAGACGAGCGGGCAGACGGACGGACGAACCGATCTATCGCCGGACAAACGGACGTTGGACGGAAAGACATATGGATAGATAGGGGAATAAATAGATTGAAATGATGAAAAATACATGAATAACAAATAGGCGCACAGAGAAGGAATCCACGAAAAGAGATTTAGAGACAGTCGAGAGGCCAAGCATTTGTAAATGGAGTCAACTCATTGTCCTGATCTAATATTCTTTATTATTATTTGAAGAGTCTACCACATCTGCTTCTGCATCCCACTTAAGCTATCTCAAGCACATTATACCCCTCATTTGCATATTCAAGGTAAGGTATACAAGCAACAATAATAAATCAATATTGACTAAGTCTATATCGAGCGCAACTGCAATTGGCTCAACTTCAATGCTAATTTAGCCCATAAAAATATTTTGCTATTTTTAGTATTTTATTTCAAGTATATTTGAAGCAAGCTTGAAACATGCAAGAAATTTGATTGCCGTCTCGTAATTATTAAAGTTTTTCGTTTAATAATATTCAAATGTTTTGTAATAAATAACTGTTTTATGAGCACAGTCGACTAGCTAATTCCGCATAAGCACACCCACTCACACTCACACACACACACACACATACACATGTGTCGCATTAATTTGTCAAATTAACACCTTTTAATAAAGTTTAATAATCTTTCTTGTCGTAGTCAAGGCAATTTTTCAAAAGCTCTAAATTTATGACTTTTATTTCAGTATTTCGAGTTGCATTTAAATATTTTTCCCTTCTCTCTTTTGCTGTTTTTTTTTTAACTGAAATCCCGCAGCTCCCGCTTCAGTTTCAGGCCAAACCCCCTCCAGCTCCCAGCTCCAGCTCCCAGCTCCAGCTCTTAGCTCCGACATCAACTTCATCGCCTACAACATTCATTCAAATTATGGAGCCGAAATGCGATCGAGATCTCGTTTTAGTCACGCTAAATTTAAAAAATCCAAACAAGCAACAACAACAAGCGCTGTAATAAAATGCATAATACATTTTTACAACAAAACACACCTTAAAAAAAAAACTGAAAGAGACAACAACAAAATGGTTGGAAAAAAACGTTTCGTTTTCTGGTTAATTAGCGAACGCGACAAACCCAAACAAAAGCGATTTATGCACTCAACTTGAGCTTTGAATGACCGATTGGAGAGGGAGCAGCAAACGGGGGAATAGGAGAGCGTAGTGAGCAGCCACATATAGGGGGCTGGGCAGGCAGATGGGCAGCTGGAGCTCAGTTGAGCGGGAAGTCAACTGTAAAGCCCACATTAATCAGTCTAAAAGACTAAGTAAAATCTTGAAAATTTACTATGCTACACAAGTTTAGCGAGAGTGAAACAGTTGCACATATGCTAGAATCTGTGCCAATTTAACATTCAACCAAAGATCTGTATTTCTCTTGACATAGAACTAAGAGTATAATGGAAGCAACAGGCTAAACTTTAATAACCTAGCCTAATATCAATTGTATTCGTAAATGAATGAAATTTGTAGAGTATAAGCTATCAAGCTATCAAGGTGTTAAGAGACTAAAAGTGTTAAGAGATTAATGTGTTTTTGGAAACAAAAATATAAATTTAAAATAATTTTACACTGTATAGACAGTATGTACATATAAGCTAAATTAATTTATTTGTATATGAATATGTATATACAATAATTTCAATCTACATATTAAAATATATTTGATATGTGTAGGAAATCCACACTATAACAATATTTATATGTATTATGATAGGGAGATAGAGTCGTAGTGTGAGAAAGAGGGAGACAGACAGAAGGAAAAAGAGAAAATGGTTAATAATAATAATAAATATATCTCAATATATCTATATATCTTTACTTCTCGATCTCTCCCGTTATATACATGTAAGTATATCTAAATCATGTAAATAATGCCAACTAAATGTCTTCAAATCTTCAATCAAGAGATTATTACCTAGCTTACCTTACGCACATTATTCATTACTCATTATTCATTACGAATTTAGTATCCAGTCAAACGCGAATATAAATGATAATAAAATTTAATTAATAACCAAGTATCAAAAATGAAGAAGAAGAGGAAGGAAAGAAGCAAACCGAGTCTATTTGGTTATTGTGACGCCCACTTGAGAGCTGTGCGTGGATGGATAATGGGAAAAGCTAACAAAATGACAAGTTAAACATGAAACGACCCTCGCAAACAACCCCAAAGCCAAAGGAAATATTCAGTTCCGAGTGCCTCAAGCACTAGTTGGCCACATAAAATTATTAGGCAAACGATTACCGAAAATTCCCTGCGGTGGCATAAACTAAATTCATGAGTGCCATGATTATGGGCAGAGGAGGGGGTGTGTCAAAGCGAGAGAGAGAGTGAGAGAGAGGGAGAGAGAGAGGCACGCGCATAATGAGCTTAAGTTATGTTACATAAGCCATAAGGACATAAAAACCACTCGAGCAAACACTTCATGAGTGGCTAAAGGAAGTCGAATGTGAACTTGGTAGCTTGAGTACGATGCGAGGGTGCGAGGGTGCGGTGCGGTACTGCTGGTAGTGGTGGTGGTGGTACTGTGCCATGATGGAGTGAGCGTGTCATGGCAGTTGCCCCTTTCCTTCCTCTTTCACTTTTTTTGTTGGTGGTGGTTGCAACCTAATGAGCTGCAGATTGACGCCGCTGTCTGGATACGGTGCGGCGTACTCTGTGGTTGCCACATTGTTTGCTCAACTGTTTATGAGCCACTCAACCACTCAACACTACCCACTCAACACCCTGTCCATCTATCTGTCTGACTGCCTGTCCTCTCTGTGTGTGTGTGTGTGGAAAGGAACTATATGAATTTATCTAATCGAAATATTACTTCCTTAGAATCAGAGTTTAGCTCGTAGCTGAGCAGCATCAATGAATAATATTTTTATGGCTTAAAAGTTTATTAAGTGTTAGATTTTTATGGGTGATCTAAATTGGCAAACATTTTTAATTTCTTTTTAACGTGTTTAGTATTCATTTCACTCTCAGAACAAAGTTTATATTACTTTTAGCACAATTTTGAATCGAAAAATTAGCTGGCTTTTAATTGAACTCCTCATAGTATAATTGATTATTGATTATCAAAAACATAAAGAATATTCCTGCATAGAAATTAAATATTATTTTATTCATTTTTGTATATCATATTATTGTCAAATATACATAACTATACACATATCACATACATATTAGTTGTTACTAGACTTTCATTTATATAAATACTTTCAATTTCATTTAAGTTTTGCAGATAATCCAGCTGAAGAGAACAACAGTTGACGATTGTATTGAGATGAAAAATCATATATGAAATTTAAAATGTTTACTTAAAATTTACAAAAAAGTATAGAGCATGATTCCAAATTTTATATATTTATCTAGCGACTATCTATTCTATTTATTATTATATACATTTATAAATATTCTGTTTATTATAGAGTAGACCACTTAAAACAATTATTGACAAATGATCTGTGATCTATTAACCTAAGTAATTCTATTTTATAGAATCTGCTTCAATTTCTCATAAGATCTCTCCTTTTGTTTTAGTTCAATTTCTTCGGCTGGGATGGGCTAAAGATTTTAGGTCAAATTTATACAAAGAACATATATGTAGTTAGCATAGCTCTCGGATTAGTCCAGTATACCAATCTCCATTTATATTCATTTAATATTATTCTTTCCCCCCTGCGCGGACACTCACCTGAGCTGGGGCGATCGCTGTAGCGCGTGCAATAGACCCAAGCGGGCCACACAATGGGCGTGGAGCTGGTGGATGTGGCTGTCGCGGTTGTCCCGTTGTCATCGGCTGCCGCCTTGCCAGTGGCTGCTGCGGCCGCTGCTGACGCTGACGCTGACGTTGGCGCCGGCGATGTGGCACTGGGCGACTTGACCAGGTCAACGGCTGCCGGATTGTTGGCGGTGCTGCTGCTGGTGGCGGTGCTGTTGGAGTCGTTGCTATTGCTGCAGATGTTGGCCAAGGTGCTGGAGAAGCTCAGGCTGGGCTGCGTTTGCGTCTGCAGCTGCACCAGATTCAATGGCTTCTGGCTCTTGCGCGGCGTCTTCAGCGCTGCTCCGGCGCCAGTTCCAGCGCCGATGCCAGCGCCAGCGCCTGTTGCGGCCAGACGCTGCTGCAGACGTGATCCAAAGTCCGCTTTGAGTATGTTGTCGATGCTGAACTTCAATGCGCGTTCATTGTCATTCAAGTTGTGGTTGTTGTTGTTGTTATTGTTGTTGTTGTAGTTGTGATTGCTCTGCAACGGCTGATAAGGATTTGGATGCTGCTGCTGCTGCTGCGCCTGCTGTTGTTGTTGCTGCTGCTGCTGCTGCAGCTGTTGTTGCATGAGCAGCTGATGTGGATGGGTTGCGGGCGCTATGCCCAACGCTGTGGCCGTCAATTGAGCCAGTGCATCCTGTCCGGCCGTGGGCCTCATGGCCGCCATGGCCATTTGCAGCTGCTGCGTGACCTTGGGTCCACGCAGGCCGCCCAGCGGCATCACAGCAGCTGTGAGCGCGTTCACCCTGGCCGCGGCCATCAGCTGCATCTGCTGCTTCATTAGCTCCTCCGCATAGAGCTGCGACTTACGCAGAAACTCCTCCTGGAAGCTGGCCGGCGCAGGCATGGGATGGGCAGCATCCTCGGCGGCTGGCGCATGAGGACTCACATTGTTGGCCACGCTGCTGAAGGCCGACGGGCGATAGAGCTGACTCATGAGCAGGCGCTGCCGGGCCTGGGCCGCCGCCACCTGGGATTGCTCCTGGCCCACGCTGAGGACGCTGTTCTCGCTGCAGCAGCTGGCCGCATCATCCAGCTCCTCATCGTCATCCTCATTGGGCTCCTCCTGGTCATCCAAAATATTCACCATATGCTCGTCGCAGGCGGAGCCCTCGTCCTCGTCCCCATCGTCCGGTTTCTGTAGCTGTGGACTGCTGCCGTGGCCACCAGCTGCACCTAGTGGCAGTGGCAGGGGCAGGCAATCGGGATGCATTGCAGCAGGCACAGCTTCTGGATCCTGATGCTGATGCTGATTCTCGTTGCTGCGTTTCAGTGTCAGATTCAGCGTCGGATGGCGGCTGCTGGCCAGCGTGGACATAAGTGTAGCCAGTGTTCGATGGCAGTTCAATGCGGCAGACGTGCGCCTAGCCCAGGGTTAGGGGCTGCAAAGCCGTCGGCATTTCGATGTTGCGCTATTTACAATTCACAATTAGTTCACACGCACACACACACGCACACAGACGGTGGATATGCACACACGGGCACACACACACACACAAGCACTTTCGTTTCGTTAGGTCGTCTCGCCGCTAGATGGCGCTCACGCACGTCTGGCATTCAATATTCAACATAATACTATTTAACGTTCGAAAAAACAATAAAAACTCTCGCCCGGTTTCCGTTACGTGCGCTCTGCCAGTCAGCTGAACCAACTGAAGCTCCCGCGAACTTGCAACTAAACGAGACGGCAAAAATGAGCAAGAGCGAGCAGTCGCCAGTCAGGCCACAGGCCCAAAACCGGAACGGCAATAAGAACAAAACATATACTCACACACGCACACACGCAGAGCGCAGATACTGCTCTCGTGCGCTCTCTTTTCCACCGCTCTCTCGCACAATTCGAACATCCAATGAACGGCGAGCTGCGCAAGCTGCCGACTGACTAAGCATGTGTGTGTGTGCACGAGGGTGTGGGGTAAATGTTACACTAGCGTTGTCTCGCTCAGTCAGCGCTCTGCCTGGCCCGACCGACCGCCTGTCAGTTGAGGTTATGTTAAGTGTTTGTATATTTGTTAATTAAGTGCACTGCCAGCGTCTCTGCTTTTGCCGGCTCCTGCCGCTGCCGCTGCCGTTGCTCCTACTGCTGCTGTTGGTCCTATTCCTGCGGATGCCTCGATACCAGCTTCATCTCCGCTTGTCTTTTTGATTATGCGCTGCAGCATTTAAGTCGTAAATCTCCAACGTACATAAGTTTCTTGCTTGTGGCTGCGCATCTGCAGTCCTTTTAGTGGCATACTCCATCCTCTTTTTGCACACATATACAGCACACAAATGCCTGTGCGTCTGTGTGTTTGCTTTTGTGTATGTGTAACACATGCCACATGCTTTGCCACCATTCGCTTCTTCGTTTTTCTTCTCTTTTAATAAAAGACAACAAAAATGTTGCGCTTTTTGATGTCATTGTTGTTGCTGTTGCTGTTGCTGTAGCTGTTTTTAGCCCTGCGCTTTATAAATCACCACCACAATTTTGTTTCCAACATCTGCTGTGATTTCATAATTGTTTTTGATGCCTTTTTTGCTTCACACATCGACCGTTGATGATAGTTATACACAAATACTCATACATCCACCTCTGTGTATGTGAGCTTGTCTAATTGGGCTCTAGTACATACAATTCATACATAAATACGCACACACACTCTTACAGTTAATGACTCTCTTCGCCTTTATTAAGGTTATGTTGAAATGTACTGTTGAAAAGCCTTTAGAATTACTTTGATGATTTTCTTATATACTCACACATACACACACTCACACACATACGCAACTAATTAATAAGCTAAATGTATCTTATCTGCATTCATCTTTCAAAATGGGCCATTAAAATGTTGCTCTTAGCTCTTTAGACAACATCCGTTGGCCATAAAATAGAAATTCCACTGTTGTTTTTTCCTCTTTCTCAATTTTTTTTTTCTTTTCTTATTTACTTTATCGCCACAGTTGCTTTGCCGCCGTCCATCGAAAGCTGTCCACGGTTTATTATCTGGCCGGGCCGACTGCCACGCCCCAATTGCACACCCAATCCAGTTTAATAACTTTGTTGCCCCGATCCGAGTCACTCGCAGTCGAACGCAGGTCGCGGCCCCCGGTCTGGGGCCCCAGATGCCGACGCGTCGATAACGCAACCAACAAATTAATCAAGCTTAATTTCAGTCAGAGCGCAAGAGAGAGAGAGAGGGAGAGAGAAGGCAAGCAACAATTATACGGCGATTAAAAGAAAGATGAAGAAAAGGCGAACAAAATAAAGCCAAAACCAACAAATAGTTGAGAAACCCTAGACACGAATTATGAATAACATTAAACGCAATTGCTCAAATGTCTGCACAATGCGAAATTCAACCGTTCCCCATTAGGCGCTCTCTCCCCGCTCCAGCGCCGCCCCGCTCCGGATCGTTCCAGCTCGTTCCGACGTTCCATGAAAAGAGACATGATTAAACTTGCGCACGAAACGCTTTTCACATAAAAGAGGCCGCGTAGAGCGCGCGCGTAAGGCGATCTTTGCCAGTTAATCGCGCAGAAAATCTTCATCAGAAATGGACGGCAGCAGCAGCAGCAGCAGCAGCGGCATCGGCAGCAGCAAAAAGTAAAGTTACTCAAACTAAAATAAATACAATCAAAACATGAAGCGTACAACGCAAGCAATAAGTAACAACAACAACAACAACAACAACGGCAACCTAAAGACCCAAAGCAAAAGCAAGAAAGTAAAAAAAAAATCAACTTAAAGCGCACCGGCAAAACATTACAAGAGAATCGCGGCAGTCGCTGCCGACTGCCGACTGCGCAGTCGCAGCAACAAATAGCATAATCGCACAGACGCGACGGGCTCCCCACACAATTTAGATGCGCCCCGATAGATAAACTTAAAGAGGCTTTTATTTAAACAAAGCGCAGCGCAGCGCAGTCACCGACTCGGAGTCTGCTGAGGCTGCGAAACAAACGGTGCGAAAGACACAGCAAGATAGAGAGAGAGAGAACCGCTGTCGGCGCTGACGCGCAAAAATGTATGTTGCTTACAAACGAGCAACATAAGAGAAGAGAAGAGCAACAACAAGCCAGACTTCTGCCTGGCTGCTTGCCTGCCTGCAAGTCTGCCCTCTCGCTCGTACTCACTGCGGCTGGCTCGTTAGGCAGCCGCTCATTGTCAATCTTATTGGAATTGCATTTTTTTTCTTCCCCTGCTGCTGCTGCTGCTGCCAGTCTTCTCGTTTCGGCTGATCTTTTAATCGAATCGTAGCATTTATTGTTGAGATTGTCGCGATTGTTTACGTTGTTGTTTGTCTAATGCCGTTTAGCAAACAATGGACATGACTGTGTCATAAGTCAGAGCACAAAATGGCTGCAACTGTTGCGCAAATTAATAATTTGTGTTGGCATTGCGCAATCTTATTGGAGCATTCCCCTAACTCCGCTTTGCTTTGCTTTGATTTCTTGTCATGGGGCATTTGTCTCAATTTATGTTTGCCTTGCCCATTGACAAGCAAACAACCAAATAGGCTTACATACATACATACATATATTGCTATTTGAATAACAAATACACACGCATGCACAAACATGGCCGCTCTAATTGGAATTAACACATGATAATGAACAGCCGTTGATTGCCCTCCAATTCGACCAACACGAATTCAGCCCAAAGGCAAAATCAATAAAAGCCCATGTGAAAATCTAATTGACAGCTAAACGATTTTCCACTTGCCATACAAATGGCTTCCAATTAGATGGGCAGGCGTATCTGCTATCTAATTGGAGTGTGTTACAAGCAATTACAAACAAACGCAAATGGAATCGGAATTTTTAATTTTCGAGTTCACTTTTAATGGAGGGTTTTGTTTATAAATTTTAGATGAACAAAAATGGACGGAATTGGGTAATTGTTTGTTTAAAGAGTGAGCGAATTGAACTGAAATGGAACTAAACTAATTGGAGATTATCTAATCAAGACTAATACTATTTGATTGAGTTTTATGTTTATATATTTTATTGTATTTTTAATTCTATTTGATGCAACATTCATTTCGGAAATTTTCGCTATGAACTGTAAAATATTAAACCACAAATCAATTTTTCAATACTTCTACATTTATAATCGACCGATTTATTTATAATGGTTCTAGTCTGGAGTTAATAGTAGCTCGAGCTTAAACCCAAGTCAACAATACCTTTCACTTTCCATTTGATTTTAAATTTATCTTAACAAATATCTTTCCTGCTTTAAGCAATTTATTATATTGTAGAGTCAATTAGTAGCATTTGTGTTCCTCTAAATTTTTATTGGTCTATTGAACAAAATTAATCTTCAAATAACTCTGTCCATAACTGATTTAAGATAAGATGAGATTCAAGCTAGACGCCATTTATCTTACTAATACTTTTGTTGGGGTTCGGCAAGAATTTATTTCAGTTAATTGAATAAATTATATTAAGATTAAGCAAAATTAAATTCTTATCAACAAATAGGTATTTTAAAGAAATAAAATGATTTAAATTTAAAAAAATATATATAAATAAATAAAATAATAATAAAAAATAATAAAATAAAATAAAAAACTGGGTTTGGTTTTATTTTTAGTTCATATTTAAATATGCATAATGCATTATAGTCTATCTAAAAAACAAAAAAAAAAAAAACAAAAAAATCTAATTCAAGTTAAGGTTAAATGATGACTGCTCCATAGAGTCTAAGACAAAAAGCTGTAAAAATATTTTTAAAAAATGCTTCGTTCCTTTAAAAAATCTGTTGATATTTTGATGTGCTATGCTGTTAATATAGCAAATCCACTTCGCATTTATTCCAGTCAGAGCCGTACTCTCTGTTATCTCCTTTTGGAATACACTGCTTAATATTAGAGTTTTGAGGTCACACGAAGTACTTATAAGTATATTTTCAGCGGCATCAATCCAATCAGAAAACATCACGATCTAATAAGAGTAACACATGATAATCGAATAAACAGTGCGCTAACTTGTTAGCTCCGGCAAATATCATATTTATTCATGCAATGAAAAAAGAAAAAACGTTAACAATGCGAAATCTCTCATGACATTATTTGCGTAGCAAATTACGCACTCGGATCATTGTCAACAATCATATTGGTGCGAGTGAACCTGAAAAGCTGTTCAACGGTCGATGGTAATTATAGTGCTTAAGAGTGGCAGGCCCCAAATGAAGGGGAAATTAAAATGCGAAATACGAAATACGAAATGCGAAAATGCATTCATTCTGCGATTCCATTCAGTTTGCATTCAATCAACAGCCGCAATCATCTGTCATTAGTTGCAATTGGCGCTCCGCCTTAACGATCAACCAAGCGC